GGTAGTGTACCCATTGCTTTTTGTACACGTCCATCATTTACCTTAATATCCACCACAGATTAATATATTACCATTAAATACTTGAAAACACTGACAGTCTTGTGTAATTTCTTTATTCTTGGATTGGTCTCTTAGAGTTGCTTTACGTTTTCTTTTTAGTGGTCATTATGGGCCTAGAGGTAGCAGAATAATCCTCGAGGTACAATTTAATTGGTTGTGGCCTTCCAGCTGAATGGTATTACCTACATGCCTCCCACATAATGCCCACACCCCACCTTGGTGACGGCAACATGTCTTCTGTGTGCAGTGTAACCAGTTGCCCAGATACCAACTTCTTGTTTTACAAGACTCGTAAATGCCAATTTCCTTGCTTACAATTTCCCATGTAACATCCTGGTCGTAAGTACATGGCAGTATGTCAGTTTCTTTCTCCGTCTCTCGCTGTCCCAGTGTCATTTTCGATGTGACACATCAAGAACTTGGACAACACAGATCTTCATTTTTTCCTACTACTATCCTGGCAACACAATGCGCTCATTCCCAGCTGTTGGCTTGTCTCCATGGCAACGCATCTTTTGAGTCTGTTCATAGAATCAGTTCAAGCTGAGTTGAACAGCTTTTCATTTACTCTTCCCTACTGTCAAATCAACTCTGAAACGCACATCTAGCCTCCACTTCTCTCAAAAGTACTCTCTCCTCAGAAGTATCAAACAGTAACACTTCATGAGATCTTCACACAATGTCTTTTTTGCATCTCTCTAAATAATTCCCCTTCCCTGTGCTGGCAACGTTTTGTTGATCCCCTTTTCCCATCTCCAAGGTGACAATCTCAAGAATCATCTTCGTAGTACTCCTCTCCTTGCATCTGTCGCATCAGTGCCATGAGATCCTTGTTGATTTTGTTCTCCTCTTGGCTTCCCCGGTCGTCTCCAGAGTCCATCTCTTCCTCCTCGTCATCTTCTTCAGCATCCTCAAGGTCATTTGCATGAAGCTGTCGATGTGAAGCTGACTGAAGGTCATCCAGTGGTACTTTGTTCACAGCGTTATCAACATCCAATAAGTCTTTCTGCTGTATACAACAGTACGGGGATTACTTTTGCATTGCAAGTTAATAAACAATTTGAAGTGCTAACAGGTACATCTACAACAGAATTTTGAATAAAGAACTCAAACTATTTGTACACTGTTCTCCATGTTTAGTTCTTCCTATGTCTTATTTACATGATCTAAATGCCTCATCCTGGGGTATATGTACAATACATGTATGAACATTTATGTTGGGGATAATTACATTTGTCATGTTTTCTGTTTAGTGTCATAGGCCTACCTTTGGTTGACTCAGTGACAATGAAAATGCTGGGTTGCCTTTCTCACTGGAGTTCCTCAGAAGGCTATTCAGATAAAGCTCCTCTTGCTAGAATAACAGAGAGACATATACATTAACATTGGTTCCTTGAGTAATTAAATATCACATTACATTTACAAGACAAGACAACCTTTTGTCATGTAGGTTTCCCCACGAACTGTGCGTTTCGTCACAAGCTCCGTAGCGGAGTCAAGCATCATGCGTCATCATGGCGTCATGCATGTGCGGCAAACATGACGAACCCCTTGGACACCGGCAAATAAACTTTAACGTTTTCCTACCTTCAAACGATTGATCTGCTCCTTGATCATCATCTCTATGTCCTTTAAAGCCTTTTCTTCTTCTTTCAAGTATTTCAGTTTTGACAACAACATTGTTACTAATAAATTTGCTCCACTTAAACAGTGTCAAGTACCATCACACATTAGGTTCACGAGCCAAGTGAGTCGCCATTTTGATAGCTGGTATGGTGCTCTGTAGCTCGAAAGATACAAATACTGGGCGACGGAAACCAGTTACAGTTTTTGCTGGCTTAGACGTCTAGCGCCACCAATTTGAACAAACATTGTACTTGATTGAGATATAATAATGTCAAGTTTCTCGCATCGTATCTTAGGTGATGTTGACGATACCAAATTTCAACTAAAAATGCACATCACTGTCGATAGAAAGGAGAGGCATTTCCCCCTTATAAAGACATTTCTTCTTGTTCTTCATTTTCTCTAAGGTTGTAAAGTTCTCTTCTGAAAAAAAAAATAAAAAATCAAGACCGATTCTGTTAATACATGTATTTTGAAAATCGCCCGAATATCTTGGATTCGTTTGTCATTATTGTCTGTCAAAAACTGGAACACGACTTTTGGGTCTCATTTTGTTTCATTCGCATTCTTCACTACTGGTCCAACCCTTTGCACCCCAGGCTAAATTGACACTTGAAGATACACACCACTTGTAAAAATGTTGTGCACCTTGGTATTTCACCGTACATTTATAATTGGCGTGGTATCAGTGCGTAGTGCGTACGTGAGTAGTGTGCTTTCGCAATTTCAGACTGTTAACAGTTGTTCATTATGGTGATTTGAAGTTGTGCCTGCATTTTGCTCTTACAGTAAGGTAACGATGATACTGATTTTTTTCCTCTTATATGGTACACTCCATGTTCATACTCATCATAGGCCTACAGTGTACTTCTCGAACAAGTGCCATGATTGCTCGCGCTCTCAAAGTGCACACTCGCTGAGGTCATATTTCCGGTTTAAGGCAGAGTGCCGAAGCACCGAGTTGAACCAGCGGAGTGATAAACAACAAATCGTCATTCATTCCAAATTTCTACATGTTACCAATATCCTTCAGTCATAAAAATCTAATATTACATATCTGTCCTTAATCTCAATTTAGGGACTGCTTCAATTGAGCATCTTTTTCTTGTGATGTGCGAACTATTTCATGGGACAATAGTTTCCATGCGGATGACTTTCCCGAAATAGCAGCATTGTGAGTAGGCCGACCTCAATTCGTGTATAGTTTTAGTAATGTGTGCTCATCGATGGTGTACATGTATTTTGGTCATTAGCTAGCATAGATCCCCCGTTCATTCGCAGTGACCTCAAGTGTCAAGATATTTCCTTTCAAATTTCATCTGGGTCTGAAAGGCTCAGCATCTCCTCGGGGCTGTAGTGGCTAGAGTCACACGAACCAAGTCCCTTCCAATTTTACCGAATTTCGGCCGAAGAAAATGAGCCAATTCCTTCCGTTCACGCCGCCGATCGTCAAGCGGTTGTTGGGATGGAAGAAAGACGACACGGAAGATCGCTGGTCAGAGAAAGCTGTCAAAAGCCTCGTGAAGAAGCTAAAAAAGACAGGGGGTTTGGACGAACTGGAAAAGGCCATCTCATCTCAGGATGTGCACACCAAATGTGTTACGATTCCAAGGTAGGTAGTGCAGGACTGTGACATTTTTTTCGCAGTGGGTATAGGCCTGATCATATTCCTGTGATGCTAGTGGGTGCATGCCGCCTCCGGGTACATGTTCTATGAACTGGACAGTCATGATAGTTGCGGTTTTGGGCTAATTGTCCTGGTTAAGCTGGTTTACAGTGAAGTTATCCACTTTTTTATTCTGTTGTTTCTGTTGGTCATATAATTAGTATACATGTATACAGTATTTTAAACTGTAATTTCACATTTAATTCGTTAGACTATTTTGAAAGTTTTATGAATAGGCCTACGCCTCATGCAGTGTACACAAAACTTAAGGGAGTCTGCATAGAATAAATGGTCGTGTTATTTAGCATCAACAGTCGTCAACAAACATCAAGTGTCGGCCCTCACAAGCAGTGTCAACAAAGCATCAACAACTTGAAAATGTCCTCTAAAGATTTAAAAATGTTTTTATCCTATTTCTTGTTAGAGACAAACATCAACAAGTGTCGGCACACATAATTGCATAAGCAGTGTTAACAAAGCATCAACAACTTGAAAAACCCCTCTGAAGATTCAAAAATGGTTTTATCTTGTAAGAGACATCTGCCAGTGTGTTAAAGACATAGCATATTTCCTTCCAGATTCTCGCATGGCCATGGAACAGTTTTTATGATGTATGGTAGCCACCTGCTTCCTTTTCTCTGCTGTCCATGCGAAAACAAGATTGCAGCCTGTCGGGCTGCACAAGCAGGCTCGACTTTGTTGCTCAAGTTTCCACACTCAAAATATCATTTTAGATAAATGTGATACCTTGAGTGTAATATTTATGAGTCTATTAATACTGGAAATGCAAAATCTTTGCCTAAATATGCTTGAATAACTTGTTCAAGCTCGGTGATGTTTGTTGACGCTAAACAGCATGACCCAAATAGAAGCATAAATGTTTAAGATGATTACATGATAGTCACAGTATTTTACTTGAACTGCACATGCATTGTAAGTTGGAAAGTTTATGACAAATATTGAATTATACAGTACAGTTTTAACAAGGATGGAGGAAAAATTTATGAAGAGGTCCTCTCACAAGCAATAAACAGGATAAATAGGTTATGTCTTTCCTTGGAAGTGAACAGAATCTTTGCATCTTCAAAATTGTATTAGCTTTTATTGAGGTCTGGTCTAATGCCCTGAGTTATCAACATTGTGTAGCTGTCCTCTCACCCTTTCATTTCACCAGAACGTCCGTAGTTGGATTTGCGTCAACACTGCACTTATCTACAGAAGTCTTTATTTATTGAGAATGTTGAAATTGCAAGGGGTCACATCAAGCCATTTAATAATTTCAGTTTTTCAGTAGTTTTGATTCCAGTCAGACTCCACCCCCCATCCCCACCCCAACCTCCACCTCAAGGAAGACTTGAACAGATGCTCTTGCATCTGAAAAATCCAGTACACAGAGGTCAAGTTTTAGGGGGGTTTCTGGCAGGACCATGGCTACAATGCATGTATGTAATGGTTGACCGACTTCCTCCATGTTGGGCTTGTTTTCCCTGGGCTTGGCCTCGATCCCTTGACAACTGAGGAAGTAACAACATCTAAGGAAGGAAGCTTTCAATGAGGTTGTTAGGCAACTTGCTATAATCAGAACCATGTTCCATTCTGAACTGGTGGACGAAAATAAATCAAGCTGGTACTTAGGACGATTGTCATGACTCAAGTGCCGTTTTAAATTGGTCTTTCCAGTGCACAGGTGTTCTTCCAGCTATGTTAGCAGTAGCGATCCAACAGTGGAAGTGAAATTGCATGGCGTGCACATGTATGCACTAAACATGTGATTAATTGAACTGGTAAAAATTAAATGTAGCTCACTGTGCAAAAAAGGTGAACATTCCATCATCAAAAATATGTTTGGCAATTTAGAGTGCCCCAAATAATCACCGACACTCTCAATCACAAGTTAAAAAATACATGTAATTGTAAGGACATAAGTGAGGCTGCATTGTCTCTTGAATCTGGTGATTCTAAGAATTTGTCAAGGTCATGGTTTTTAATTACATGTTCAAGTGCTTCAGTCTATTTTGTTTTGAAACTTGTCCAAATAAAATTCCTCTTTACAACCCCCCCCAGAAGTGGTAGCAATTCTGTGGTGGATGAGCTGTTGCTTTCTGGGTCAGATGTCAAATGTGTTTTGGTTGTGCCTGTTTTGCAGGGAGATCCTGTGACATTGAACTCTGAGTGTTTGTGTGTCACCAGCTCCCAAAGTGAAGCATGTTTATAACAATAGTATGGTCAAGACAACAGCAGCTAGTGGAAGCCACAGACAAAGAAAGGATATTGGTCTATGACCACATAGCAACCATAGCAACTGGTTCCTTAGGATAAACGTAAACAAGTGATATTTTTAACACTTGTCAACAATTCACAAACTTGATGCTTACTAACATTGTAGTGTGAGTGATTAGAATTGGTTGACAAAGAGTGCATGTATAAAAATCTTACATGATTTTCTGATATTTATGTAATTGTTATTGCATGTAGCTACATTGTACATCCTCATAGAAGGAACAGTAAAGTGATTATAGGCTCAGGTTTACTCAGTAAATCGTTTTGTTTTAAATTTAGTATTCTCCTGGATTTTTATGGATATACGTGTATTTCTGAGTGAAGTGAGAAGGTAGTTTGTCTAGTCCATGTGCTAGGTATTCATTCTGTATACATGGACAGTACTGCCATACATACATGTCTACATTTATTGTTTATTTATGATGATTGATTGTTGATGAATCATAAATGTGCATAAAACCACCATCCAAGCTAGCTCTTCAGTTGTTCTTCACAACGATGGACAATCATACTACATGTGTATTCATTGGGTGCAGCATATGCGTACAGGATAAGGTGCAGATGCGTGATGACGCTTCCCTTGCGATGCTTTTTCACAGATATTCAACCATGTTCATGTGCATATATGTATACTGTGCAGTACCCACTGATGTTTGCATACACTACCAAGTATGTATTGTACATGCTGGAGAGGAAACAAACACACAAACAGTTGAATTAAGTTCTTTGAACCAAACTGCACAGTGAGCAGACCGGCCTGAAGATGTTCATATTATGGTCTCTTGTATTTCTCCAGATCGGAGCATGTGGTCAGTGGGACTCACGTTTTGGCGCACCCTTCCAATACCAAAGCCCAATCGTAAGTCACCGTTGACCCTTGCTTGCTCTCTTTTTTTTCCCGGTGCTTTTTTTTTATCCCCTCCAAAAAAGTACGTGTAGAACAGAAAATGCTGTGGTGTGTGTGTGCTTTTTTTCCATGCTGTGATGATTTTTTTCCCCCTCTGGCTAGAAATAGTGCACCGTAGAGCCCTACATTTTATGAACTGTGCAAGTACCTTTTGTTCAATCTTCATTGTATTTTAGCAGAGAAATTCAAACCACACAAGCAAGTCTTGTTACCCATGCTGTACATACATGTACATGTAGTTTCTACTGCAAGGCACCGTGCACATGTTTGCAGTGGGTACATGGTTCTACTGTAGACCAGAAGTGCCAAAGTTACCGGCATAAATAACTTGTTAGATTGTGCATGTAGCATAATGTGTGACACAAAATACGCAAAATGGCGTAAATGTCCAGGTAATGATTGTGCAGTTGTTGGAAGCAGCGCCTAAAGACACAAATATGGGGGTTGAGTATTGTATACCTGATATCATAACATCGTATCATCTTATCCCTTATGCTCATTTTGCTATGTTATCCATGGAAAACATGAAAAATACAGAATTCCGAGGCAAAATGGACGCAATCGTAAGGCCAACCGGAAGTTTCCTGTGCCGGTAACTCCAGCCAGTGGAGCATGTATACATGCAATGCACGGTGCGGCTGCAGGAGTTGGCAGTCCATTGGTTTTTTCCTCCTCCAAGTCTATGGTTCTATGAAAGTCTATGAAGAGTGATAGGTTACATATTGAGGAGGTGTTTTCTTTGAGCAAGCAGCTTGTCTTGGGCTTCGGGCCTGCCCTTAAAGACCCTAAATAAGGCAGGCCCCGTTCTATTTCAAATAAGTCCACTTTTTGAACTTTACTGGCTATTTATTGTTTTGGTTTGGTAACAGTTACATGTGCAACAATCTATCAGTAGGCATGACCAGTGCTGTCGCGGTGTGACCAAAACAGTCGCATTTGTACCTAAAAGTGATGGTATGCGACCAAATGTTTAATTCTTTCGCCAATGCGACCATGATTTGTGTCGTTAGTCGCCGACATTGTCAGTCATATTTCACGATCGATTGCTGCCCAGTGTTCTATGCGCACCGAGCGATGTATCTCTAGATGATCACACAGGTTTTCCATCTTACTGTGTATGCGGCATGAGCTCACGTTAACTGCAATGCAGCTTACATGTAGACACCTGTACATACACGCACGCACAGGTACTAGGTACCTGAGTTGACTGGTTTGTGGTCGCACGCTGTAGAGTGTGTATGGGGAGCTGAGACATTTTGTGTATTCATCTAAATGGACATTTTTAATATATGATCCTGCAAAATATTTGGAATTAAATACGAGATGGGTTACTCTTTCCAAATATTACAAAAACCCCAAAATTGACCCCGACTTCAATATGACTTTGAACCTTCAAAATAGGAAAGAGCTGGATGCGGCTTTACGCTCATTTTGTGGTGACAGGTTACAAAATGTACTTGTACCATAGAGTGGCACAGGAGCAGATTTTGTCAGCAGCAAGCTTTGGGGTACATTGTCACACGTAGGTATGAAAAAAAGTTCACCTGTTAACATTGTCTGAAGTGTTACGAGTCATGACCCCCAATTTAGTGTACACGGTACCTGTTTACCAATAACAGCAAAATCAAATTTGAGCCTGTTCATAACGTTGCTTCCAACATGGCCCAATTGTGAATCTTCCCCCTTTCCCCTCCTCTCCCCTCCCCCCAGCCAGTTCCAAGGTCCGTTACCCAGGAAACCATGACTTTGCTCTTCTTACTGATTAGATTGACCTTGTAAGTCATCACACTTCATGGCAACCTGCCTCCAAGAGATTTTTTTTCCCCTACCTGTTTGCTTCTCGAACTTATGCTCCTGTTTTATAAATGTGTACACGTAGTCTTTTAGGGCGTGCTCTGTGCCAATATCCTTTTTTGTTACCCATAAGAACATAACAAAGATGTTGATCAAAGTGAGTAACGTACCGTATCTTAAAAAATGGTATTGTTCCTGACCGTAAAATCAGCACATGTACATGTACCCATGTACGTGTGTACATGTTGCGGTGTCTCGATGACACCAATCTTTTGTAGGTTAACACAAACAGATCTATTGCTTGTAAAGTACATGTGGCTGCAATTTTGAAGTGTTGGAAAATGACTGTGTGCTAGTTACGTGTACCTGATTTATGTCTTACATTGTCATTTGCAAAGTTGCCATAGTAATGCTGAAATCTGGCAGTACATGTATAGCCATACAGGATGTAGGTGTACAGACTTTTGCCATGCTGTGCCCACTTACTCGCGTGTGTGTAACTGATCAGATGCCTTTTTGTCTGAGTTTTAGATCTGAAGCTTACAACTGTACAAAAAGCTTAGAAATGCGTACTCCGCTATTCTGAAATCCAGATGTTCTTTTTTTTCTCATTTAAACGGCAAATATTCTGCTGAGGTCATGACTTGGTGTAAAAAAATTTTCAACGGGTATTTATCAAACACGGAGACTGTTAAATTGTGTGGGTCGTGAAAAACAGTGTGATAAAGATAACTCTACAAAACATCACAGAAAAACATATGCTTTATGTTGCCTATAGTTGCCAACTTTGGAAGTGCTTGGAGTTTTACAACATAATAACATAACACCGGGATTTGTGCCAAAAAAAACAAAACAAACTCTGCCAAAAAAACAAGAACCTTCACATTTCCGTGAATAGATGTGCTGTAGAAGTCTGCGCTATGTGAGTTGGCAGGTTTAGGCACCTGCTGAGCTGTCTGGTGTCAGGTTCCCAAGGCCACGCTGGAATTCTTTGTTTTGAACTTGGCACGAGAGCATTCCGCATTTTCCACTTCCCTCCTCATCTTGGGCGGTTTCAGTTCCAGTGATCTCCCTCAGAGTTTACAACCTTCTTTTCCGTGAAAATCATGTACATATGTGGCAGGGGACAGTGTGTGGTGTATTCTTACTCTAAACATTACTGTATTCCTCTCCCTTTCCGTTGAGAGGATTCCTTCCAAATCTCTGATCATTTGCTACATGTATGTCTCTTTGGAATCTGTGCACGTCCAATAGTGAATGAATCTGGCAACTTTGTCGAAATTACTTGGGGACATCAAGCATCGTTACTTGAACCATCCATAGTTCAGCAAATCAAGCAAACGTGGTAGATTTTTTTTTGATTCGGGGATAATCACATGTTAAATGACATTTTCATAATTTTTTTCACAGAAAAGTCAATTTTTGTGCTGTTCCTTCCGTAGCTTGTGGACACAAAAGTCATAAATGTACAAGATTTTTTATTGCCTACATCATCTATTGTCATTTTTGTTTGTACATGTACATAACATGTTTCTAACTACAATGTATTGATAAAAGCATTGAAATTTGTCATTTACGTACCGGTACATGTGATTCATGTAATGTAAATGCATCAAGTTTCAGACATCTCTTGGATGGTGCTCAAATTGTACACATCTTTAACTGTTAATGTTTTTGTACAGATCATAAGGTCATGTTTGTATGGTTTGCTTGTTCCATACACGGTTTCCAATATTAACTATGGCATTTCCTGAACTCTCTGATTATTCTGTCAACTTTTTTTACTTTGGGTTCCTTTCCAAATGCGTTTTCTATTTGCTCATGTATTTATTGTTCCAAAACATTAGTGTGCAAAGCCCCTTTTAAAGACAATGAACATGTTTAAATGACTGGATTTGGAATTTAACTTCAATTTAACTGCCGCTTGCGGCTAAATTGTGGAGATGGCATCACCACACAGGAGAGCAAGATGGTTAAATTATAATTTCAAACATGAAGCATGAAGGAGTTGGTTCCTTTTGCTGTGCATTCGTATTCATGTACCCGTCCATAATCATCCATTTTTTATGGTTTACCTAGGCAATATGCACAGAGATCACCCTTAACTGCTTGCTCTGAAGCTTTGACTGCACAAGTGCAAGTTTTTCAGAGTCCCTCTTTTTTCCCCCAAGCAACCAGCAATATCTCCACCGCCAGAAGTCTCACCTCTCCGTTAAGCTCTTGTTATATTTTTTATCTCCCTCCGCATCTTATCCAATCAGGTCCTTGGACGGACGTCTTCAGGTCTCACATAAAAAGGGGCTGCCCCATGTCATGTACTGCCGTCTTTGGAGGTGGCCAGATCTCCAGAGCCACCACGAGTTGAAACCAGTGGAGCACTGCGAGTTTGCTTTTCGTCTTAAGCGGGACGAAGTCTGCGTCAACCCATATCACTACACAAGGGTTGAGACACCAGGTAACAAACGTAAACAAAGGAAAACTTGCTCTCGGGGAAAGTATGCTGCTGTTGTTAAAAAAATGGCTGAATTTTACATGTGTGTGCGTGTGACTTAATTGGACCTTTGTCCTAGTTTGTTTAGTGAAGCAAAAATGACTTGTACAAAAATACGTGATTTGACAGAAATGACATGGGTGATCTATTTTGCTTGTACAAAACAGCAAGCTTTTAAATGTCTCTAAGGAGCATGTTCTTCTTTAGCATTTCCTTTGTAGTACTTTCTACGATATCTTTATCCAAATCATTGCTATTGGTGAGGTGATTTGTAGGACGTAATGCAGTGCAGCTTCCTTTGTAATTGGGGAAAAAAAGTTGGAAAGAATTTTGACCAGTGTGCGAGTCATTTCTATGAACAAATATTTGTTGTGCTTTTCGCTAAACGCAAAATGACATCTACATCTAGCTGCTTTCTTGAGAAAGAAATGTTCTCCATGCACAAACTAGGATGTCACCGTGCAGGTTATAGAGCTTCAAACTTCTTAGCATAGAAAGATATTTGCTAAGCAAAGAAAATAATTACCTGCCCCAAATGTCATGCACTTCATATTTCACGTGACTGGTTCCCAGGTGATATTTCTAGCCACACCAAATTGCAAAGCAGTTCCCCCCCCCCACACCTAGAGGCTCTCTTAGATCAGGCCTCGAAGGCAAGGTTGATCTTCAGTAATTTCAGATTATCAAATTTGAAGAGCACTTCTTCAGAGTAGGCTCACACGAGGAGGAAAGCAAAATGTTAGCATTAGCGGAGGAAGGCCGACAATGTGTCACAATCATTGCTGGAATTAGCCTTCCTCACCCCAAGAGAGGGAAGAGGAAAGAGCGACTGAACACCGAGAGCAAGGTTGCCCGTGGAATCATGTGCAAAGGTCAGACGTGCATGCCATCCCAGGCCGGTTCGCCACAGACATATCTCTGCAAAGGTCTCCATACCCTGCCTGTCATTTATTGGAGGCTTTATTCTCGCTGAGCTAGAGAGCAAAAGCCAGAGATTATTGGCATACTCGGAACCAATGGCCGGGACAAAAATCCCATGGCTGCCTTGATTCAGTGCCTGTATGGCAACGTGCGTGTGTTAAGAGTTGCCTCCCCTTCCCCCAGGGATGGCTGCCAGTGTTGATCGCATTGCAATGAAATTTGGCTGGCTGATTCAAATACACACAATAGCAAAGCCTTCTCCTGTGGGTCCGCTTCAGCAGTACCCATACAAATACCTCAGGAATAGTCTACATGAAATCATTACCGGTAGTTGATGTTCACTATGTTATCTGCAGACCTTCAAGTTGGCCCCAATCCCGGTCCAACTTGCCCCATGGGTACGTGTTTGACCGTACCTGAAACAGATATCCAGTTCAGTGAGCTGTGGAAAAAGAAGGAAAAACATTCTAAAACTGAAATATTTTAGATATTTTACATATTGAGTAAGTAGTTCATGTTGTAATCTGCCTGTGTGTTTCTGATGAGTCCCTCAGGAGGTCCCGTGTGGTGCATACTTATTCTCCTAATTCCAGTCATCATCTAAAAACCAGAATGCATTGCCGGAATATCACTTTCAGTTGCACTCTTATATAAATTCTAAAAGTAACTTGACCTAGGCGGAACAGCTAACCCATATGTGCACATTTGATCTGAACTCTCTTCACATGACCTGGATCCATGTATGAATCACATGATAGAAATGCTCCCGAGCAGTGGTGTACAAACTCTGGCAACTTGAACTGGGAGGGTCGGACAACATTACACCAGAGGGTGCATATGTAAATCCACATCTTGCACTCGCTGATTTACATCTGTGTGCCATCAACAACCAGGCGGTACCTTTAACCCTAACCCTCTTCAGTTCTCCAAAATCCTTCGGGTGGCTTTGGAGTATTTTGGGGGACTGAGGAAAGATGGCATTTTTAAAGTCGGAGGATTTTGGAGGATTGGGGGAGAATGGGAGATTGAAGCATGGAGGATTTTGG